TGTGTATATTTTGACGATGGCGCAACTACATGACAGTAAAGCAGGCGACAGAAAAATTACATCGTCCACAATATATGACCAAATGGAGTACACATACATCACTCAGTTCCTCTTGATATATACCGAGTGTCAGTACGAGGTCGATCGGCAACAATACTGCTGATACCAACATACAATTCACAAACGCCATGACAAATCTTTCATAAAGGATGTATGGACGACCAGATTTCTACCGAAATTCACTTACTTTCCCAGTTATCGAAGGTAAATTGAGACAGACTGATGACATCGTTGAAATTACTTAGGAAGTGGTAGGTCACCAGCAGAAACGGGACGTTCGGTTGTCCCACCATGAAGTCTGTAGCCATTCTCTGTTTAACAGTGCGGAGATAAGGATGGCTAGCTCGATAGTAACCTTTTGAACTCTACTATGCTCTACACTTGTGTGCGGCATATAGTAGATATAAATTGTAATGTAACGCACAACTCTCAGATATCAGAATACACAATTGAAGTTGTTGCTCATGTGTCTGACTCTTTTCGTGGAAGAATATACTTGACAATCGAACAGTCACGCACGCTGCTGATACACTAAGCAAACAGCACAACATCAGCCAGACATACCGGCATTTCATCTAACGCAGGATCAATTGGAAGTTCGGTATCTTCAACCGGATATCGTATACCTGTTCAGATTTCAGAACAATGGTTATGAAGTTTCTCAGAAGATAGGTCTTATGTATCAAATAGATCACGTTGGAGTATGAGCGGACTAAGGTCAATTATTCCAATACTGTATTGTAATACTCATCAGGCAGGATCGGGTTGTCCTGACAGGCGACATCAAGTATTACTTTGGTGGGCGTGATGTATGCGTGTAAATGTGATTTGCAACTCTATAGGACATCTACCTCGCCCATTCGGGTCGCAAATTCGTAGATTGATTTTGCCTACGTTCCTTATATCGTATCATCGCATTTTCGATCAGAAATGCAATCAAAATAACCGAACCATGTAACATAACTGCTCGATTTTTAATCTACGAAAATATCGAGTACATAGCTATACTAATGGTACTAAAGAACATATTACAACGTGCATGTGTAGATGTAGACAAACTGATTAAGAATTCGGAAAACTGAGTTCCACATCTGTACACACCATAATATATAAGAAGTACAAAAGCAAATAAATGTGCACCAAGTAGGTAATTACGTCTGCATACGTTCAACTTCTACGCGTTTCTTGGTTTCCTTTTTCTCCTGGGCGATTTTTTCTAGCGCGTTTTCTTTGACCGCCTTCTCCTTCTCCTTTTCTTTCTGCACTTTTTGTATCTTCTCTTCCTCTTCCTATGAAGATTCAATAAAAAGGAATATGATTTGAGTTAGTTATATCGGATGAAATAAGACAATTTGTCTGGAGAATCGTAATGATATGAGCATTAGTATATTTATGTTGTATCGAACGGTATACTAGAATGCAACACAACACCTCAATATCTGAGTGTATCCAGGGCTAAAAAATGCTCATGTCAAATGCCCAGATTTACGTCCGCTATTGAACACGTATGAGAGAACCTCACGTATATATACGTATTCCTTGTCATAGAACCAAATCGTGCGTCTATACAAAAAACACACACGCGTACAGGCATCCATACAGTTGTGAGCATACAACTACTGACGCGTAGGAGACATACTCTTTTCCTCTTAAGTTGCCGTCCTTCGAACTTGAGCTTCACCGCGAGCAATTCGGGGGGTAGTTCGGAGGCGAGCCCATACATTTGTACGTATTTGTCCTGTGCAAAACAAGAGAATATCCATCAGCGATTGTAGGGATAAGAAAGAGATAGTATATATCATATCGTGATAGCATGGGAATACATATTTGTCCTGCAAAAAAGTACAAATACTGAGATCAACATTAGTGGTTGTGGTAATAGGGTAGCGCTAATGGTAGCGCTATCTATTACTATTCCTGGGTGATACAATTGTACGCATTCGTCGTGATGGAAAATATATCCGGTTGTTGCAATGAGGTAGCATCATTGAATACTACGCGCGATTGGTATGATGGGACATAATAGTCCTTCATAGATGGTAGAGACAGGGACGTGTTTCTTATATTTGGAGTTACATCGGTTAATGGAATCCGACAACAC